CCCCCCCCAGGCGCCAACCAGTTTTGCTCCAGGGTGAGACGTCAGTGGGCAAGACCTCGCTGGTCGTGTACCTGTCTCGTCTGAGCGGCAACGTGTGTGTCAGGGTGAACAACCACGAACACACTGACCTGCAGGAGTACATCGGCTCTTATGTCGCAGACGAACACGGAAAACTCGTCTTCAAGGAAGGTAGGCTACAGATTACCAGGTTTTTAAATAGATTTTACCTCATTACAAAGTCTTGGCTTGTTGACTTGATTAGATAATGCTATATCGCGAATGAACAGAAGAAATTGTGGTTTTTAACGGTTAGCGGTTGGTGCAAGTTACGTAGATGTTTCTATTTAAAAAATAGTCGTCTTGTTATAGATAGACATGGCACTTTCATCTTCAGGGAATCTTAATAACAGACACCAGTTTTCTAGATTTTTCAGTAATTTTGAAAAATTAAATCTTTGATCTTTGCCATGTCTGTTTTGCATTTTGTCTTCACTGGACAACCGTCATGCTGCTTATCTTGAACTCGAACTCTGATGTTCATCTCGTATGTCTGTGTATTTTTCCAGGTGTCCTAGTGGAGGCCATGAGGAAAGGACACTGGATCATCCTGGACGAACTCAACCTTGCGCCAACTGATGTGCTGGAGGCTCTCAATAGGGTGAGTACAGCACGGCTCACCTGTCAGTGACATTTCAGAAAATGAACAAATATGAAAATTAAAGTTTAATTAGGTTCGCTAATTTTTGACAAATTTGCAAGTTCGGTACCCCCCGAAACTGAGAATATACGCTTTTTGGACAGTGGGAGGTACAAGCGCTGCTGAAAATATACACGCATTGGGCTGGAAAGGTCAAAGGTCTTTATGTTTTCGAGGGTCTTAGGAACTGCATTCATCTGTCTTAATGCTTTTTTATTGTCTTATTGTTTCACTAACACGAAAACAAAAACTCTTTCTTCGTCCAGCTGCTTGACCATAACCAAGAGTTGTTCATCCCAGAGACTCAGGAAGTTGTCCAGGCTCACCCAAAATTCCAGCTTTTTGCCACGCAGAACCCGCCTGGATTGTACGGAGGTCGGAAGGTCAGTCGGTCACTTCATCTCGATTATAACACAATTTTATTCGTCATGAGTGTTGTAAAAACTGCAGTTTCTTGTTTTGCATCCTCAGTTTAGCTGGGCTTTGTTTCGTATTCTCAAAGTCCTATTATTAAGACATTTTCACTTTTGTTAAGGTCGTAAAGTTGACTTACGTAAGCACTGTGTAAGTTTTTTTGAAGCAACAGAAAATAACTTAAGAATTGTGTTGATGAGGGTGTGAAAAGTAACTACATTTAAAATACTTGGACAATTGTGTTATGGCCATGACGATATGGCATCTCGCTGTTGCTTTTTTTTTTTCGGTGCTGCGGTTGTGGTATGAGCTGCTATTATTTTTGTTGATTGAATCACATATTTATTCCATTTAAATGTCTCAAGTGCAGATTTTTAATTGCAAAAGAGGAACATGTGTTTGTGATTAGTGAAGAATCAGTAAAACAATCTCATCCCTTTGTTTCAGGAATCAGAAGATTTATTAGCTTCTTACAGATCGACATAGGCTTCTTTGCATTTTCATTTTTTTTTACTGTCCTTGTTCCAATGATAATCAAGAGTATTTTCGTTTTGGTGTTCCCAAAAGAGTACCTTATTTTTATGTACTTATTTTTACACCAAGATAATTATAAATCGTGAGAAATCTGTCTTTTATATTAAAGGTATACACATTTGTTGTGTGCTATCAATTGTTATGTGCAAGTGGAAGGTTTTAAGATTGTTTATCAGCAAAGTAAAAGTTGGGATGTTGCGTTCTTTTAACTAATCATCTTAAGGTTAATACTCAAGTTGCAAAGAAACATGCCATTTTTTTTCAGGTTCTATCAAGAGCTTTCCGTAACAGATTTATCGAGCTTCACTTTGATGAGATTCCCCCGAAAGAGCTGGAGACGATTCTGCACGAACGTTGCGGCATCCCGCTCTCCTTTGCTCGCAAGCTGGTGGCTGTCATGTTGGAACTTCAGGTCAGTAGCTAGACTGATTATTAGAACTTAAGAGGTTTGATTACAGAAGTGGTTTCATAGAACAAAATACCTATTTTATGTCTCTTGATTGTGAAGATAATCCTGCTAAATGTCCTGAAGGTTATTTTACAAACATTTTGAATTACAAATCATCTTACTTCTTTTTTTACTTTTTTTTTCTAACAAGCTGTACAAGTTTCCTGTCTTATTTTCCATGGTCCTGTCTGTGTTTAAAAAAAATTATTAGCCAGTTTCTTAATGTTTGTTTTCTTTTTCCTTTCTGTGTTTCTGCAGTTGTTTTTGTGCTGAGTTGCTGTAGTTCTCGTACACAAATCTCTCCAATGTGAGTAATGGCTCTTGCATTATCACAAAGGTTACGGTTTTTTTCCCCTGGGTTCTAGGTTTTGTGCTTTATCTTTAAAAAAAATAATCATATTCATCGTTAGACTCGGCGACGTGGATCAAGCATTTTCTCTGGCAAGCAAGGCTTCATGACGCTGCGTGATCTGTTCCGCTGGGCCCAGCGCTACAACTGCCCCGAGGCGGGCAAGGGACAGAAGTTTTACGACTGGGACCAACATCTGGCTGATCATGGTGAGTTGTTGGACTAAGAAAAAATCACAAACAGCTTTCTGGGTGTGTGGGAGATTGATGTTGATTTTCTTTTGGCTTTGGTCTCTGTTGTTTAGGATTGGAAGAGGGCGTCTCTTGTTGATGCAGTTCACTGGCCCCCATGGTGTAATGGTAAAGCTCTTTGCTCTAGCGTGCAAAAGACATTAGTTTCATTTCTGTCTGGGAAATTTTTAATCGAGAATTGCCGTCGTTCTGCTTGGATGTTGTTTCCTGCTTAGCTGGGGGCCGGAGGTAATAGTGCATTCTGACTCCTGATCTGTAAAGGGGTCTCACAGATTGACCCTGGCAACAGTTTTAGAACAGAACAAGTGTTGAACTATTTCTTCAAGTTTCACAGATAAAATATGGTACCCCCAATGAGCGGTTCATATATGCAGCTATAATTAGTCAAATCTGCTCTGACGACCATCTGTCAAAGACAGCCGCAAGTACAAACAACCACTTCCTACTTCCTCCCTTTTGTGTTTTTATTATATTATAATGACACTGTCCTAGAGGACCACCACCTTTGTAAGATGACCCCTGGTTGTTTTGGACAGATTTGACAGTACTTACTTTCACTTGCTCTCACAGGTTACATGCTGGTTGCTGGCCGCGTCCGCAAATCGGAGGAGGAGCAGATTGTTCTGGAAGTGCTGGAGAAACACTTGAAGCGCAAGGTGTCACCGGGCTCGTTGTTCTCCGTTACCAAAGCAACACCAGAGCCGTTTGCCGCCACTCTGGAGTCCGTGATGGGTCAGTCTGTGGACGGCTTCCAGCACATGGTGTGGACGTACAGCATGCGGAGACTGGCGCTGCTCATTGGTCAAGCCATCCGATTTCAGGAGCCTGTTCTACTCGTGGGGTCCACTGGGTGAGTCTAGGGTGCCATGTTTCCTTCTGACTTTCTGGACTTTTCCGTTGTACTTTTTTAGTTTTTATGTTTGGCCGGACTTTATGTCTTTGCGAAAGTTACTTTGCATTTGTTTTCCTCACTTCACTCAGGTATAAATGGGTGTCAGGTCATAGACAGTGAAAAATCTGTTCGTATGTAAGTGTTTTAGTACCTGGTATGCTATCCAAGAAGATGAAATTATTTCAGAATGCTATCAGGTCTGTTGGGGTGATAATTTAGGTTATTAAGTGTAGAGAGCTTGCTTTATTAATGTGTTTTGGGGCTGAGTATCGACATTTTGCTCACAAAAATTTCATACGCTGTTACATGTATCATAAGATTTGACCACATTATATGTTTGTTTTGTTCTACTCCTCTCCCCCATCAGGATCGGTAAGACTACAGTGTGTCAGCTGTACGCTGCACTACGGGGCCAGGCTCTACACAGCGTTAACTGTCACATGCACACGGAGAGCGGAGATTTCCTGGGAGGCCTCAGGCCTGTGCGCTCCTCCTCAGATGACGCGGTGAGTTGGGTTGGCCTGCTTGTAGTTCTTCGACGTTGTGCGGCATTGTATAGGTTTAAGTAGATGCCCCGCCCCTTTTTCAACACTGTGAGGTTGGTTACTTTGAGGCAGGAGCTCTAAAGTTAATGTCAATCTCAGATGGAACTAAGCCAAATGGGCAGAGAGCCTTAAAAACTAATATCCCCCCATTATTATATTAATTGTTAGATACTTGGTTGACCGACATTGCTAGTTGTTTCTGTTGACTTAAAGATAATGTAATACTGTGTCTCATGACAAATTATGATTGTAAAGAGAACTGAAACAGATGGATGACATGAAAAGATTAGAAAAATAATACTGTTTTTTTTTTTTAGAGCATCCGTAAAGAGGAATAAGTGGCATCCTTTGATCACTGATATCTGTTTCAGATCTGGCTTTTGAAGAAGAGGAAAAAGAAAAAGAAGAAGAATTAAGAGCAGAAAAAGAACAAAAACAAAAAGAAGAATTAAGAGGAGAAGAAAAAGAACATAAAGTAAAAGGAGAAGAAGAAGAAGAAGAATTAAGAGGCAAAGAAAAAGAATTGAAAGGAGAAAAAGAAAAAATAGAAGAAGAAGAAGAATTGAGAGGAGAAAACGAAAAATAAAAAAATAAAAAAAGAAGAAGAATTGAGAAGAGAAAAAAAAAAAAAAAAAAAGAAGAAGAAGGAGAAGAATGCTGTATGAACTCTCTGTCCGTGTTTCTATAGGAGGACCTGAAAGAACAGAAGCTGTTTGAGTGGAAGGACGGCCCCCTGGTGACGGCCATGAAGGACGGGGCCATGTTCCTGATAGACGAGATCTCCCTGGCCGACGACTCGGTGCTGGAGAGACTCAACAGGTCAGTTTGTTTTTCTCTCTGGGGTCAAAGTAAACTTTAACATCCCCCCCCGCCCCCCCACACACACACTTTGACTTCACAATAATAATGATGATAATAATAATAATAGCTTGTCCGTCAATGTCTAACGATGACCATTGAATTTTGCAATATAATTACTTTTAAGAATTCTTTTTGTTGTTTTTATGATAGATATATTATTAAAAGTCATATAATTCAGTGTATTAAGCTATACATTCTGATTGTTATTTTATTTCCTGAATTTGGGAAATTTTTTGCACTTGCTTTTAAGGGTGGATGTATGGTACATTATGATTATTATGGGGTCGTTCTTGATTTGTGTCCATTTCATAGTTTGTATGTTTATAAAATTGTGTTGATGAGGCTGCAAAAATATTGTAAATTATGTTTTCTCGTGTCATTAGTGTCCTGGAGCCGGAGCGAACGCTGGTGCTGGCGGAGAGGGGCGGGCTGGGAGAGAGCAACGAGGCTCTGTCTGAGGTGGAGAGTGTCACGGCCGCTGAGTCTTTCAGATTGTTCGCGACCATGAACCCTGGAGGAGACTTTGGCAAGAAAGAGGTGAGGGAAAGAAACCGACTGCTCAGTGTGAGACTCCCACCATATACACACTCTGCACACTATAATTACTCAATATCACGAAAAGCAAGCCCAGCTCAATAGTAACAACGTGTACAGGAGGTAACATTCATTTTTTTCCCCCCCTTCTTTTGTCTTTGTACTACCTGATTTCGGGCCAAAATACCTGAAATTGACTCTGAATTTACCTGAAATGAGAGCTTTGAGGTAGGCAGCTCTGTGAACAACTTATTTACAGTCTGATCCTCACATTGAAAAGATATGTGACGGAGAAGGATCTCCGGCCACGGAAAAGCAAAAAAAAGTTGGATTTTGAAAAATGTGGCATAAAGGTTTCTTGAACTGAGCCATCGTTATGTTTTCTGTACCTGTTTACTGGCATCTGTTGGGTTGCTGTCAGACTCTTTTCTATTGCCTGCAGAAGTTGTGAGTTGGTTTTGTGAGCGTAATGTCTGTTGAAATGTGTATCCTATTCAGCCAGGGTTGGCTCTGATGGGTAGACTAGAAGCAGCCCACATCCTTTGTGATCTAAATTTGTGTAAATGAAGATGTAAACACTTACAATCCAACTGCACTCCAATGATGGCCCAGTATTGGTCATGTCTTTCCTTCTATGTGTGTGACTTGTAAGTTCTCTCGTGTGGTCTGCTGCTTCTTTTTATTTTAAAGGTATTTTCTTATCCACACCTTTTTAAAGATTTGTATTGAAGAATTTTTTGGGTTTTTTTTGTTTGTTGTTTATATCATTTTGGAGTTGGGTTACTTCATAGGGCCAACCTAGTGTAAATAGAATTCACCACCCAATAGACAGGCGAAGATCCTCAATAAAAGTTCTCCCAACACAGGAATTGGTCTCGGGTCTTCTGCATGAAATGGTTAAGCACCTAACCGCTGTACCACAAATGCCAATAATGGTATCCTGAATTCTTTCTGATGAAAGTGATGTTTACACGTCTCAGTCTCAACTACAAATTCTTTTGTTTGACGTGTCATTCTGTTGTTTTTCCATAGAATCTGGCTGCTCTTTTTTCTAAGGGGCATGTTTACATTTTTCCCTAGCATTATGTTTGTTTGTTTGATTTTTTTTTCAGCTGTCCCCTGCCTTGAGGAATCGCTTCACAGAGATCTGGTGCCCTCCGTCTCTAGAGAGGCAGGACTTGATTGCTATTGTGGAGAAGAACATCCGCGCAGGTCTCCAGCTTCACACTGCCGCACATGACGGATCCAGTGGCTTCGGTGCTGCCATGATTGACTTTGTGAACTGGTTCACGGCTACGGATTTTGGATCCAAGTGAGTGACGACTCGTAGAGGGTGAAGAACTGGTCTCATATGGGTCTATTCAGTTTGGTTCAAAGAAAAGTTTTTAAAAAGACCCCAACAAAACAAATGAACAAAAGTTAAAGAATAAGAGATGTGAAAAAAAAAAAGAAAGAAAAACTTGATTCTAAGTTCCTGAGACTTTTCTTTTTAAATAACCCCTTATGCCCAAAAATTGATGAGCGCCTTATTCCACCGTGTCGTATCCCAAATCGTGTCATAGGAGTATAAAACATTTACAGATGTAATTCTTATTACGTGTATATGTAACTGTTCCTCAGGGCCACAGTGAGTATCAGAGACTTGTTGAGCTGGGTGCACTTTGTCAACTGCTGCTGCGGCCGTGCCGGCGATGAGGGGGAGGCGGAGGAAGCCATGGAGACCGACAGTAGTGGCCTTACCACACTGTGTCAGCTGAACCCTCAACAGTCGTATGTCCACGGAGCTTGCTTAGTCTTCGTGGATAGTTTGGGAGCAGGTGAGGTCACACACATGAGAAATTGGTTAGACGGTGCCTGCCTCTGGCTGGTCTCTTTTCTTCCCTTTCACTTTGCTGTCTGTCAGTCTCTCTGTCTGTCAATCTGTCAGTCTGTCTGCTGACTTGCTTTTTGCCAGCTTTTCTAATTCTAGGAATTGTCTTAACTATTTGTTGAGGCTTCTTTTTTTTGTGAGTTTGTCAAATGATCGTGCACTAGACTACTGGATAAGACTAGTTACCTTCTTAGTGTTTACCAGCAATAATTGTACTTTAAATCTTTTTACATCCCTTTTTTATCATCAGACGTGGAAGGATAATGTTAGCAGATTTTTAGTGGTGTTCTGATGTGGTTTGCTTCTTCTTTCCTATCAAACATCTGTCGTCTTTATCTCTCCTCCTTTTTTTGTGTTTGTTACTCTCTTGTAACCCCTATTCTTTGGTACTTATTTGACCCTATTGTTTTGCAAATGCCATAACTCTTACTAAAATTAAACTAAAAAAGATATTATTATTTTAATTATTATTATCATCGTTGTGATCCTTGGTGTTATGATTATGATGATAATGTTGATGATTTTTATATACTTTTTTTGTATTGTGTATGTGCTGCTTACTTTATTTTAGTATTGCTCCTTGCAAAATTTTGAATCAGTTTGGCAGTCACCTGGTAACTATCATAACTAATTCTTGGTCCTTCCTGAAATTTTCGAGCAGGTTCGACCCAGTCATGGAATGAGGCAGTCGCCCAAACATCCCGTCAAAGATGCCTGGACTTCCTGCTATCCCAGCTGTCCTCTCTGTGTGGCTCGGCACTGCGCCCCGAGGACTGCGGTCTACTGACCCCCCGGAGCAGCTTGCAAGTAGTCATCTCCGAGAGCAGCTTGAGCATACCCCCTTTCAGTATTGCCAGAGGTATTGTGAAAAGATAGTTATTGTTAGTGTTTAGCCATAGTAATTGTTAGTGTTGTGTGCCCAGATCGACAAAATAATTCAGATCATGAAGGAGGCTGGCTACTTCGACCCTGCCTGTCAGGCCCACCACAAGTAAAATGGGAAAAAACATCCCAGCAGATGGACAGAAATACGAGATAAAAAACTTCCCTAACCAGGAGTTGAACTCACCTCTTCAACATGCAAAGGCAAAGAGCCTAACTGCTGCTCAGTACAATGTTGCACTATCATTTGTTGTGTAGGGTATCCATGACATAAAGACTTTAATAGTTAACCTTGTAGGATTGTGATGAAAGGGTACCTGATGGAGTCTGGAGACTACAGAAATTTCTTGACCTCTTATCATACATGTCTGTGAATTCAGAGATTCATTATCTGTTTTTCTTCAAAAGCTGATTAAGGTTATAGTTATTATGAAATTAATGTGAACTTAATATTTAGGAAAATGGGTGGGGGAAAACTTTGCAAAAAGTGTAATTGTTTTATAGATGTTTGTATAATTTTTTGCTTTTGGGAAATGTATTATTTTTTGCATTTTAATCAGTTTTTCACTTTTATTTAGCAGGTAGACACTAATGTAGCATGCTTGTTCTGTTTTCTTTCAGTAATTTTTCTGTCCTGGTCTTTTTCTAACTGTTCGCTTACTAAGCACTACTTGGCTCCTTAGGTACGGGTACGTGCTACTTCTTTACTTTCTCTCTGTTGTTTCTGTCTGTCTGTCTTGCTTTTTCCCCTGTTCTAAGTAACCTTTGTTACATCGATATGTTTCTCTTTACACCAACAAATGAACAATCAAACAAAGTTTTACTTGTCTGTTATACATTTCCTGTTTCTTTTTGCCAGGTCCGTCCCGAGGAATGGACGATGTCCAGTTTTCCCTGGAGGCTCCGACCACCTGTGTGAACGGTCAGCGGTTGCTGAGAGGGCTACAGCTGGCTCGGCCCATACTCTTGGAGGGCTCGCCCGGTGTGGGGAAGACCAGCCTGGTGGCAGCTGTCGCTAGACTAGCTCGGAAAACGCTGATCAGAGTCAACTTGTCAGAGCAGACGGTACGTTTGTTGGTTTTTTTTGTGTCAACTCTTAGTATATGGAAGGTTATTCTTCCTTTGTACTGGGCCTGTTTTGTCATCTAACTTTTCAGCCTCACAAACTTCTCTAATACTCTGTTCCTATTTAACCTATCTGCATAGAATGAACATCAGAATGAGAAGAAACGATATATCGAAGCAGTTAACATACAGTTTGATTATAGATAACATGAAATTGCTGAGGTTTGGTAGATTATTTTTATGGTCGGAGGTCAGCTGAACTGGCGCGCAATATACAAGGAGTTAATGTAGGGGTTTTATGCTTCCATTGACACAATTAAGATCATTTAGGTGGCAGGCTTGCAGGGTCAACCCAAGCTGAGGGGGATATAATGTCCCAGCAGAAAGACGGAGATGCTTAATTAAAATCTTCCCACATGAGAGCTGAACTCTCATCTTCTGCCTTAAAAAAATTAAGTGCCTAATAACCACACCACAGATGTACACAATTTGTTTTGGAGTTTTGACAATGATTTCTCGAACAATGTGTCAGATGTTTAAAACTAAGGAAGGATTTTTTTTTTACTTGATAGTTCAGGCAGGTATTTCTTAAAAAGTGAAGATTACGAGTACAGGTCTTGCCTCTTGTCATCAATAATGTTTAACCTAAGATTGCGTGATCAATTTTGTTTGTTCCCAGACTTATATGCAATCTTTTGGTGCCATTGATTAGAACTTTATTCCTCATCAATTGCAAGGACAGCGTTTTCCATAGACAATGTGGATCTGTATTTTGCTATGTAATAAATGCTTTGTGTATGTGTTCATTCCTGTTCTGACGCTCTGTCCGCTCAGTTGGTATCATGCTGGACTGCGGAGTGGATGGCTCTGGTTTGATTCCTCAATGGTGCGTTCTTGAACTTGCGTTGTTTTGAGGAGTTTTAGGGCTCTCCACCTATTTGGGTTTGTTTTTTCGGAGATGGACGTTAAATTTGGAGCTCCCGCCACTTGCATAGCCTTACTGTGTTTAAAGGGGTATTAAACCCAAATAACAACAACAACAACAAAAACAACAACTCCTGGTTCTTCTCTGTGCAGGATGTGAGTGATCTATTCGGAGCTGACCTTCCTGTGGAAGGAGAAGAGGGCGGTCGCTTTGCCTGGAGAGATGGACCTTTCCTGCAAGCTCTGAAGGCTGGTCATTGGGTTGTCTTCGATGAGGTACGTGTATATCTGTTAATTACTTTTATTTTATCTGTCGTGAGTACCGTGAGGTGTTGTTTAGAGATAGAGAAGTTGGGTCTTGGCAAACTGAAAAGCCTCTTGAAGCTGGAAAATGCAAACTTTTCAGATGTTCTATACTTCCTTAATCATCCTTTTCCTGGGGCTCTCTCTCTCTCTCTCTCTCTCTCTCTCTCTCTCTCTCTCTCTCTCTCTCTCTCTCTCTCTCCCTCTCCCTCTCCCTCTCCCTCTCCCTCTCCCTCTCTCTCTCTCTCTTTCTCTCTCACACTCTCTCTCTCTCTCTCTCTCTCTCTCTCGAAGTACTTTTTGTTTTATAGAGTGTGCTCTAGTAAAGCTCTTTTTTAAAATGTATTGATTGCTCTTAAGACAACAACATCTCCTGGTGAAGACGTGTTATTATTTTTTTTCTAGTCTTTAGTGAGGTTTGTACATATCTGAAAATAATGCTCCTGTTTTATACACTTGAATATTGCTGAGGCTATAGCTGTTTATCCTATTTTTTCTAATCAATGTTTGTAAAGTGATTGCCCGTATAGTGTCAACATTTCCTTAAAAAGACCATCTTTTTAACCCTAGAACTTGAGTCTCCTCCCTTTTCGCCTTGTGTTGAAAACTAAACTATTTTGTGTTATTTCGCCCTGTTTTATCTGTCAACATTTCCTCTTTGTTCAGCTCAACCTGGCCTCCCAGTCAGTCCTGGAAGGTCTGAATGCCTGCTTTGACCACAGGTCAGAAGTCTACATTCCTGAGCTGGGCAAAACCTTCCACATCAACCAGGAAGACACACGCATCTTTGCCTGCCAGAACCCTCTGGCCCAGGGGGGAGGCAGGAAGGGACTTCCTCAGTCCTTCCTCAACAGGTTCACTAAGGTGGGAGAGTTGTCTAGGGTTTCTTAGTTACACACATTTAGTTGGGGGTTTTTTGTGGTGTTTTTACTGTGAATTCTGTCTGAAGTTTCATGTATTGTTTTTGCTTGGGGGTTTTTTGCAACGAATTTCTTCTTTGGAATACCTTACAATCGGAACTGTCGGCCACCCGTTGTTTTTTAGAAAAGTTGCCGTATTAGACAGGTGTCTATCTTACGCAGTGTCATTATAATGTAAAAAATATGCAGGGAAGGAAATGGGAGGTGGCCATTTGTGGCGAATAGAGCAGGTTCAACTGTGTGAAGATAGAGTAAGGTTGACAAAGAAAAACTTACTTAGAGAAGAATGGCCTTTCTCCATCATTCCTCAACAGGTTCCCCAAGGTGGAAGTGTTGTTTAAGGTTACATGAACTATTTTTTTTTTGGCGGGGGCGGGGGGAGGGAGGGGGCGACGTTGTTTTTGTTTTTTTGCTTTGCTTCTGTCTGAGGATACATACAACCAGCTGTGTTTGCTATGAATTCTCTCTAAGGTTACATGCAACTAATTGTTCTTGCAATGAATTTTGTTTGAAGTGACATGCAACCAGTTGTTTTTGCTGCTAATTCTGTTTGAGGTTACTTGCAACTAGTTTTGCTCTGAATTCATTATGTTATGTGTAATGATATTCTTTTTTTCACTTTACAACCTTGTAAAATAGTTTATCTACAGCTGTAAAGGAAAAAAATTTATCCAATAAGTGAAAATAACGAAAACAGGAGACTGGATATACGATTAAAATTGTTGTTAATGACCATCCATTGTTGAAGAGAAAAGCACATATGGTCGCTTTTAAGCACAAAGGGGTTATCCCAAAAAGTGCTGTTTTGAGAAAATCGAAGGTAAAGTTTTTGGACCCTTGTTCAGTTTCTTTAAAAGACAAGGAGAGTTTTCTCTATAATATCCAAACAAATAAACACATCAATGAAACCAAACTTCTCCTAGAGGTAGGGCAATGCCCACTTTTGGTGTAGGTCAAGGTTTCTGGAAACCCCCGAAATCAAGGTTAGTCCTCTTGTCCTTAAAAGCGACCATATAGAGCTTACTGTTGGGCGGAAATTTAATGCTTTCTATGATTATGATTATTATAATTATCTTGATCTCTTCTGTGTTTTGTCCAGGTTTATGTGGACCCTCTCACCAGGACTGACCTGATCTTTATTGCTAGCCGGATGTACCCGGGTCTCCCAGAGGACATGCTCACGGATATGGTGGACTTCAATACAAAGGTAGGCGGTCCCTGCAGTGGATGTTAATCTGATGACTGCTAAGTGAGAGACTCTGTCAAACGTCACTTTTTGAAATACTGTATGGCGGAGTCTTTCAGTAATTTTAGTGGAAATGTATTGAGAAAAGGGTTTTTTTTGTGTGTGGGTGTCTGTGTGTGTGTGTGGGGGGGGGGGGGGTATATGCCCTATAAATGCAATTATTATTATTATTTTTGTTGTTTTTGTTATTATTATTATCATTAATATTTTTTTCATTATATGTACATCTTAACTACTTTTATATAAAAATCACTCAGCCCCTTCTCTTTTATTTCCAGATGTACTCAGAGACCATGGTGAAGAAGCAGTGGGGAGGACGAGGTTCTCCGTGGGAATTCAACCTCAGAGATCTGTTCCGTTGGTGCGAGCTCATGCAGGCAGACCAGGTTGGTGGAGCATCTCTCTCTATACATTTACTGAGGATATCAGCAAAGAATTACAGTATTGTCACTTGGTGGTTTTTACGGCAGCTCTAGTGTGGTGTGCTCCTTGTTTCCCTTCACACGTCTATTTTCCTTTTCTATTATCCTTCTCTTTTTTGTGTTTGTGACTCTTTTATAACACCTCTAGTCTTGGCAGTTATATACAAGTGCTATGAAATTTTTACCAACAAAACCCCAATATTGCAAGGAATGTTAAGCCAATACAATTGCACTCATCTTTTTTTCACAGAATTACTGTCTATCACTCTTCTGGCCACCTATTTTATTATACGTAAGCGCACACTCACACTGAAAATGCACTATTTCATAAACACATGATGTGCTTCTGGCTATTCATGCATGGTTGATGGTGGAATTGTGTGTGGTATGTGGTTAGGCTCTGTGTGGTGGAGTTTTCTTTATCGAGTATCTTCGTCTGTCTTCTGGGATGCTGTGACCCACTTAGCCCATGTTAGTTAGCCCTGAAATTTAGGGGCAAAGCAGCCAGCCTCCAAAAATCTTTGTAAAAAATTGTTTTGGTTAATTTTTAGTTTGCTGTATAAACCTACAGATTATTCTCACTTTCTTTCTCTCCGCAGAATGTGTGTCCCGGTGAATATGTAGGTCTGATCTACAAAGACAGGATGAGGACAAGCCAGGACAAGCTCAAAGTGAGTCTGTGTTGTGTTTCAAGTTGATAATAATAATAATGATGATATCAATTGCATTTAATAGTGCATATCCATGTTTTACAGTGTGCTCTTTGCGCTTTACAACTATTATTTCCTAGCAGCTGTAGAACACCCAGGAGCCTTCTCACTGTTCTTGTTTTGAAATTTGAATTGTTTTATTTTCTTTAGGGCATTCTAATTTTGACAAAATAAAATAAATTGAACAAATTATAGTTCAGTAAGCTATTCGTTGTTCAGTTTCAGTTTAGTAAGAGTTTAACGGCGCTCGCAACTGCATCAGGTCATATGAGCGCGTGAAGCACAAGTTGGTTGCATTCACAACAGTTCTCAGCACGTCTTGATTTTGTTCAAAGGTTAGGTTAAATGGTCAAAAGTTTCGCTGTAAAAATTTCAGTTTTAAAAACAATAATTTGTATTTCATTTAAGATAACAATATCTACATTTTTGTGTAAAGGCCAATGGCTTTTTATAAAATTGAGAATTCTGTTGGGATCAATGACGGTGATCTCTTAACTTTGTACATCTAAAATATTTCCTTCGGGTCTCTCCAAAGTCCGGACATTCTGCTAGTTCTTGTATAACGGTGAAATCTGTGTCGCATCTAACACAATTCTTTGTTCTACAAAATGTTGAAATTTGGTGAAAACTTTGAACAGATCATTGACCCAAGTTCATTCATTTCTCTGTATGTGTATCTCCTTCACAGGTGGACCAACTGTACACTGCCTCCCTGGGGAGCTCATACCCTCTGTGCCAGCCGTCCAGAGTGCTGCACGTCGGGTCTTCCACGGTCCAGGCCGGTCATTCCTTCCTGCCTCGTCAAGGCGTGCACAAGTCTCACTCGGTTTCTTTGCTGACTTTACACCACTGCCTGGAGCCTCTGGAGTCTCTGATGAAGTGTGTGCAGATGAGCTGGCTGGCTATACTGGTGAGTTGATGGTGATTTGTGTTTTGTTGGTGTTGAGTTGTGGTTAAGGATGAGTTGATGGTTGTTTGTAGTTTTGTTGGTTTTGAGTTATGATTTAGGGTGAGTTGATGATACTATTTGTTTTGTTGGTTTTGAGTTGTGATTTAAGATTGGTTGATGGATGGTGTTGAGTTGTGATTTAGGTTTAGTTTTTGATGTTAAATTGTGATTTAGGGTGTTGATGGTGTTTTTTTGTTTGTGTGGAGTCGTGATTTAGGACGAGTTAATGATGGTTGTTTTGTTAGTGCTGAGTTGTGATTTAAGGTGAGTGAGCACAATAGTGACCCTTGCAGGTGTGGGCCCCATAGTTCTACTGTGAAGGAGTAAAGAATGACACCTTCCTTGAGATTGCATGATGTAAAGGTGACTAAAGGTGCGCAGGTCTTGTTTCCTGAAAAGGCCCGGTTGGCAGGTGCTCAACTACCCTATCCTGTAAAAACTTTTTTTAAAATGTGGAAACACAAGCAATCACTCTCACTGCCTTTCTCACCCTGGATCGGGGTATAGGCCATGAACAAACACTTTTTCACCTTTCCCTATCTCTTAATGTTATTCCATGTCTGCCCACTTTTCTGTACATCTATTTCTCCGGAGACTCTTCTCCAGGTTCCACGTGGTCTTCTCTTTGATCTTTTATCTTGTGGGTTCCAATCAAACACTTCATAACTTATAAAAACATTTAAATTTACCCCCCAAAAACCCCAACAAATTGCACTGCTTTCAACTTTTTCTCTATGGATGTGTTTACCCCAGGTGGGTCCCCAGTCCTGTGGCAAGACAAGCCTGGTGCGTCTCCTGGCCCAGCTGTGTGGACAGACCCTTAGCGTCCTGCCTATGAACAGTTCCATGGACACAACAGAGCTACTGGGCGGATTTGAACAAGTCAGTTGTTGGTTGTTATTTTTGTCATGACGCGGTGGAATCAGGCACTTGTCAATTTTTTGGTATATGGAGTTATTGGTGGCATCTTAAAGGTTATTCATTTGGCTTGTATTTGATGAAAAAAAAATTCCATTTAGCTTGAATAGAAGTCGACATATTTGTGATTGAAGGAGGTAGGGGTTGCGCGGTTTCAGAAGTAAAATTAGCGAGAAAATAGCCCCCAAAGTTTGGTGACTTCCATAGCTCAATAGTCCTTGGAAACTGCAAATTTATGTTTTTCGTGCCTTTAATGAACGTTCTTCCATAAAATCCACAAATATGAATGTTTTTGAATGGACATGCAAGGTGTTAAGCCAAAAATTAAAAAATTGAAAAAAAATTTCAATCTGGCTGAAAAATCCTGATTTCTTCGATTTCATTATTTTGACAAGCACCTGATTTCACTACCATGCCTCATATTTTGTTTTGTTTTTTTAGCGTGAGTGTGTGTTTATTTGTATTATTTTTGTTTTGTATGGGTGTTTTCAGTGTTTTGTTTATGTGTGTGTGTTTTAATTTTACTGTGTTTGATTTTTGTGTCTGTTTCATTTTTGCATGAGTGTTTTATTTTTGTGCAAATGTTTTATTTATGTGTGAGTATGTTTTCAAGCATATTTTTCTTTGTGTGTAGTTTTGTATATATGCTTGTGTTGATTGTATGTGTGACAGGTTGCAGGAGAGGGGTAGGTCCTACTTTTTTACATTCCTTCCATTGTTTCTGTTTGTCTTTCTTTTTCAAAGTACTGAGTGACACTGCACTGTAAATAATCTGTGAAAACTTTACACATCCATCCTTGAAAGCAAATTTGTCTTAGGAGCCAAAATTGCTAACTTTTCAAAAACAAAATAACTAAATTACAAATAACAAAGAATAGCACGCATTTTTGCCTTTACATCTGTCATAAAAACCAAAAACGAAAGATTAGTATTAGTGAGTGATATATTACACATTATTGGATGCCAAAACAATCTGATAGTGGTTTTCTTACAACAATGAGTAATGACATTTAAGAAAAGAAATCTGGCAGGGGAATGCAAAGAAGACAAAGAAGAAAATAATTAATTGCTTTCTTGGGTCAATATCATCTGATAGAGTCAACTGTTTTGAAGGTGTCAGTTGTCTGGTTGGTCTCTTTTGCAGATGTTTGCTTTTCGATTATTGGCGTTTGATTATGAGTTGGTTCTAAATATTTTTAGCAATCTTCTAATGTTTCTTACTGTCTCAACTCAATATTATGACAAGGGATCATGGGCTTCACCTTTGATACCTTATCGTTTGGTTGGAGGGTGTCACTGGCAGGTCGTACTTAATTATTTTTGCACTGTTGTTTCTGTCTTATTCTTCCTGTCACTATAAATGATGACGACTGGCTTCTGTGGTGTAACGGTTAGGCTCTTCATTGTTGCACACAGGAAACTTGAGTTTAATTCTCTCATGGGGTCCTTCTTCTTTTCCTTCAATCTGTTGAGTCTGTCTATCCCTCTTGCTCCCCCTCCCCCTCCCCTGCACTAAATGACTTGACTGGTCAATGTGCTTCCCTTTACACAAACTGGACATATTCCTGGCTGTTGCTCTTTGTTTTTTGTTTTGTTTCGTGTCTGTTTATGGTTTTTACCTGTGTATGTGATGTAGCGGTTAGGCGCTTTGCCATTGGACGCAGAGGATCTGAGTTAGATTCCCGTTGGGGGGGGGATTTTATCGAGTATGTCGATCTTTGTGCTGGAATGTTATCACTCTCTGCCAGGCTTAGTCCTGACAGTCAGGGTCAAACCCGGCTCTTAAATGTTCTAAATTGTGTCGATGAGGGCGTAAAACACTTACGTGAACATAGTTCCTCTCTCACCCTTAAATAATGGGGAAAAAGGTAATATAATGCGAACCTCACTAAATTATTAAACCTATACATACAGCATGAAAAGACTAACGTGATATATTCTAAACGCTTGAATTAAAAAAGAAGACACCATGCTTTTTGAACTTTCAAAGGTTTAATTGTGAATATCAAAAACGTAATAGAAACAATACAATTGTCTTTAATCTAAGGAGCATAGTTTGTGATGGTAGCGAGCGAAACGGCTCTCGGAGAACCGTGTGTTTCGTTGCAGTAGAAGCTTTTTGCAACAAGCAGCGGCTCTGGTGTCTGTAACGTTCACGAGTCGTGAGATACGGTGGCTTCAAAATTATAATACAGGCTTGTTCTCACATGCACAAAAACTCATATTGATCGTAGAGGCCCTGGCATACTCACTCACTCGCACGCACACACGCGTGCGCGCACATACACGCACATACATGTATATACGTATGCGCACACGATCACACACAACACACACACACACACATACATACACACACACACACACACACACACACACACACACACACACACACACACACACACACACGCTTGCGCGAACATACACACCTACTCAGACATATATACGTACGCACACGCACAGACGCACATATACATTCACACACTCACTCACCCTCCTCTCTCTGTCTTTTCACACAAACACACACCCATACACACGCACAAACAGCTAACCCTCAGACATTCACATGTACAAACACACTCTCAAACACACACACAAACAACACAACACACACACACACACCACAATACAACACAACACACCCAAACACACACACACACACACACACACACACACACACACACACACACATACACACACACACACACACACACTCACCACAATACAACACAACACACAGCATAACACACGCACAACACAAAACACACGAACACCACAGGCATCCTCTCCGAATGAGTAAGTGTACAAAAAAATGGAACATTAATGAAACGTATGGCTACCCATACATCTCTCCGTTGACAGCAGTATTAGATCTGGTTCGATCTGTTGGTTTATTCCCCTTTGCATCCGGTCGGTTTGATTGCTTCCACAATTTATGCTCGCAGGCCAATTGGTGGGTGCCACAGCGCTACCCCAGAATTACTAATGCCACCCTAGAATTACAAATGCTGCCCTTGAATTTCAAAGTTCTATCTGCTCAGTGCTTAGTTTTTTAGAAATTTGAAGTCAAAGTTTTTAATTTTCACGTGTCAAGATTTTTCGAATGCAATTCTTTGAATATCTTGACCTCGTCTCTTATCTTACGGTTTTGAGAGAGCAGATAGAACAATTTGGTTTCTCACCTCATGGTCTTAGTAACTCAAAGCGGCCCAACATGTCACATAAGACCTTGTAATTCTAAGGTAGTGACTGGTGGGTCCTTTTATTTTTCTTCTTTCATTCCTTCTGTTGTTTCTGTCTGTCTTGCTTTTTCCGTGGATTGTTAGCGGGTGCTCTAGTGTGGTTTGCTCGTGTAACACCTCTAATATCCGGATGGTAGGAGGGCGCCGCTGGTAGGTCCTACTTCTTTACTTTACCCCTGTTGTTTCTGTCTGTCTGTCTAACCTTTTCCCAGCTCTAAATGACCATTATTGTGTTGATGTGCTTCTCTTTATTTAAAAAAACAACAACATAAAAAAGCCCAACAAATCCGGCACTTGTACGACCCAATTGTGTTGCATTTGCCATAAATATTGTACTAACACTTTCTTTTTAAAAAACGTGCTTTTTCCGTGGATTGATAGCCGTTATTGAGTGGATGCGATTCTCTTTTCTCCAACAACGTAATCAATTTCCAATGTCGTTTGTTTGAACTCAGTCATCGTACTCCGAAAAATGGAATGGATGTCCCAGCAAAAAGACGGAGGAGATAATTGATTTAAAACAACAGAAAAATTCTTCCTTTCCGGGATTCAAACTCACGCCTTCTGCGTGCAAAGGCGAAGCACGCAAACGGTGCACCGCAAATGCCGATACGACGAGTGTGAAAGATTATGTGATAGTAATACCCCTGCGTCATCACCATAAAGTAGACTCCTTGTGGTGTCGTCATCATAATTTGGCACCGGTAGCGTGTTTAGAACATAGATTTGTATCCCTAGACTGCGCAGTTTTCATGGCCGCCGCTTATTGCTCTAGACTCAATAAAAACTATCCGCGAAGCATGCGCGCTTGCGCACTTGTCATGGCGGCCGCGTTTGCTTTTTATAAAAACTCTCCGCAAAGCATGCGCCTCACGCCGTTACGCCTCAAATGAAGGGCAAAACGTCTGTCTCACAGTAGTCAAGTAAGTGTACGCAGCACATTTCCTCCTTGTCCTTTATTTTGCTCACTGAGTCAGATAAATGGTGCGTGAGTGGTTGGCGGGTGCTCTGGTGTGGTTTGCTCCTTTTTAAAAAATCTAACATCTGAGGTTGAGAGGGATACAACGCCCAAGCAGAAATACGAAAATATTCGATAAGATATTAGTTTCCCCGCTCGGGAATCGAACTGATGTCTCCTGCATGCAACGGCGAAGTGCCTTTCCTCCACACTACAGACTCCTGTGGTTCCTCTGTTGTCACATGGTACGATTACAAAGTGTGCGTTGAAACAGACGTAATTATATCAAGCGTAAATACAACAGTTGTTTTTTTAGTTTGTTTCTTTTGTATTTGGTGTTTTTGTCATGACCTGCCTCATGGACGTTATGTTGAAGGTGTTAAGTACAGAATGATGTCCGGTAGAAGTAAAGTATAACCCTCCATGTCCTTGCGCACATTAACGATCACAGCAATTCTGTTTCCTAGTCCTGTAGGGAGACATATCAGCAACTCCATTGTGACCTCCACGGGGACCCGAGATCTATGCACAAAGTCAGGTTAATTCTGAAAAAAGGAAGGGGGGGGGGGTCCACATTTTCTTTTACCAAAAGTAGTATTCTCATCACCAGGCTGTTAAACGTCGATAGTCCGTTGAACGGGGCGCGGAAGTGGTAACGTAAGTGTTAACACAGTAAAGTTTACCCACCTGAAGTCGTGGTAGTCCGTTCAGAAAGATAGCCTAATTTAATCCAAAGTGTCAGGTACGAATTTCCTCTTCGGGGTTTAGGGTTTGTGTAAGTGTATAGATTTAATGCCCCCGTCAACACTATTAAACTATTTAAGAAAGAGGACCTCCG